TTTTTTTTTTTTTTTTTTTTTTTTTTTTTTTTTTTTTTTTTTTTTTTTTTTTTTTTTTTTTTTTTTTTTTTTTAATTATATACTTATATATTTTTAATCTAAAAAGATCTTTATTTAAATTGTTTTTAAAATCAAACTTAGAAAATTTTTATATTTATAATAAGTTAATTAGATTTGTATATAAAATTTGACTGTATATCATGCTACTTTAATAAAATATATACTTTGTCTTGAAAAAAATCTATTCAGAAAATGACATGTTTAATATCATATGACGGGGCTGTGCACAATTTAGTTAGATGCGTAATATATATATCGCACAATGATATTATAATTATGAATCCTCCACGAAAAATCATACTAGCATTTTTTCACAAACAATTAATTTCCTCACATATGATTATTTCGATTCCTGTTCATTATGGCATTCAGAGAAGTGACAAGCGCTTGTGTGAGCGATTCTTAAAAGTGATTAGGTTCAATCGTAACAAGCGGACAAAAAAAATGAATTATAGCTCTACAGCTTATACGCAAATTTTCTATTTAGTGTAACAGGTCTATTGACCAACCACACAGAATTTCTTTCACCTCATGTTTCACTATTAACCTTTACTTTTATCTTTTTAAGTTGCTTGTATTGATTGTAATAGCACATGTTCGAATCATTTTGATTAATCTTTAATATTAAACGATCAACTTTTATCGCCGCCCCAAGCACAAGCAAAACAGAAGTAACAAAATGTCTTTGTTATGCAGACACAATGACACTTCCACACAACTCCAAAAAAACTTATTGAAACATTTGGTTTTGCCATCAATACTTTTATATTGCTTATTACCACCAGTTGTCTCCGACTTCCCATCGCAGACCGAAAATGAAACAGAATACAGAAGCTTCATTCCATTCACGATTCTAGGTTCTGTCTGTATAATTTGCGTTTTAATTCTTTGGATATTCATTCGAAGACGCTTGGCTGCCATAAATAAGAATAGGATTCCCGATGTTAACGATCCCGAAATTGCCCGAGCTGAGGCTAGTCTGGTGGAAACCTTGGACGAATTTGCCAGACAAAACTACGAGCGTGCACGAAGTATAATTTCTTTTTTTTTAATTGTTTAAGTTTAATGGTAGTATTATTAATGATCACTTATTTGAAATAGTATTTCAAGATGATTATCCACCAGACAGCATCCCTACGGATATTACGTTATCACAATTTCTGTCAATTCAAGAAAAGGGCGTATCTGCATGGGAGTTCGAACCCGATCTTCACCATACCAATTGCTTTGTAGAATGTCGTACCGAGATTTCATTTTATGATGGTGAATGTTGTGTGCAAACAAATCTTCCACTGCCTAAGCAACAAGAGATTTACTATTGGGAAGTAAAAATGTTTGATAAGCCAGCGTCAACAGTTGTTGCTGTTGGATTGGCAACTAAACCTTATCCATTATTCAGATTACCAGGTATTACCAATTTCCCTTAACTCTCATATGAGGTGTTAAGTTAATATTGTCAATCCTATCGCAAAAATTACTTAATTTATACTAAAAAAAAAAAAATTATAGGATGGAATCGCCAGTCTGTTTCTTATTTTTCGGATAACGGCTTTAAGTATTATAATTCACCTTTCAACGGAAAATCATATGGACCTCAATATCAACAAGGAGATGTTGTTGGGATTGGATATCGTCCGCGAACTGGCACCGTCTTCTTTACACGTAATGGAAAAAAGTTAGACGATGCATTTACCGGAATGAAAATGAACCTTTTTCCAACTGTTGGAGCAAATGGGCCATGTTGTATTCACGTCAATTTTGGCCAAATAGGATTTGTTTTTGTTGAAGCAAATGTGAAAAAATGGGGGCTTGCTCCAATTATGGGAACACTTGCCCCACCACCAGCTTATGGTTCTGAAGGTGGTTCAATTTTAATACAGTCAAGCTCTAGGGGACATACATCAGGAGATATTAATCATATTCAGTATTCACATGCAAGCAATGGAGTACCTCCGGAAGCGGCTTTGGACATTTCTTTGACCGACATCACCGTTTCACCGCCGTCTTACTCTTCCGTAGATCGATACTGTGAGCGCCATTCTTTCATGTCTGACAGTTCTGAAACCTATTTGCTAGCTGATGAGCAAGGCAATTCCCGGAGGACAAGTTATGAAAACTCATCCAGAGATCAACAACGAAATGGCTGAACAATAATTATTATTAACCTTATATTTAGAAGATCTCTTATGTGTACAATGAAAAAACTTCTAATTTTATGGTTGAATTTATGTATAACTCAGAATTTTGATGTTTTCTACGACCAATGGTTTCAAGAGTTTGTGCACTTGTTAGCATAAGTTACGCACTATATACTTCATACGATTTTTATTGTTCTTTCATATGTTGGGTGTTCTAATTATGAGCGGATGTTCCAACACTCATTATTCATTATTGTATACTGTATATGTATATATATTATGCATCTTTCATGTTTTCTTTCAAATTCAGTTTATTTATTTCCGCATTTTGAAATATGATTCATTGTCGAGTGCCATGTAGCTACAAGATAGGAGTACTTATGGTTATCTTCAGTTATTGGACCGCGGAGTAGTACATCAAAGTCTTAAAGGAACATTTGAACAAACTAGATAAGTAATTGGTTAAAGAATTAACATGATTGTATGATGAAAAATATTTCACAATGGAACTTGACGTGAAAAAACTATTATAATTAGCCTTATTATAAAAATTTTTTTAAAGATTTGAAATAAACAAATTATACATATTATCAAATTTTATTTCTTTATGATAAATGTTTTTAATACTTGGATATTAACATAAATATAAAAGTAATGTTATAAGATAAATTAAGTAAACATTTACTTAAAATGATTATTTTTAATACTCTTTCTTTATATATATATACAGTATATTATAAAAATAAATAATATATTTATGTTTGATGACCTAGTCATTTTTTATTTAAGAAATATTTTATTTTACAAAAAAAAATTTTTATAATTAAATTATATATTTAATTAAAATTATCAAATAAATAAATCTAATTAATATAAATGTTACCAATATAATATTAATTATAATTTACTTTAATCTATTAATTTAATATAATTTCTAATACTATTGAATAGTTATTTTTAGTTATGATCTTTATTCTATTTTTATTTTATCTATTTATTTATAATTATTTTTTTGATATTCTTTATTAATACTTAATTAATATAAATTGCTTTATCAAATATAATACATAATATAATTTATTATAGATCAGGTAATCCAGAAGATCTAAGAGACTCAAGTAACCTAAGTAATATATTTTTATAAATATATAAGTAATCATGATTTCTCAAAAGTAGAATAAGTTTGTAGAAATAATTTTATTTGACTTTTGAAAATTTGGATATTTTCTTTTAACTTTAGAATTAAAGAAATTGATCTAGTTTTCTTGATTTATTAATAAACTTTGAGTTTTAAGTAAATCATACTTCTTGCGAAATATTGTATAACATTGTTTAAAGGATTTTTGATAAATTAATTTTTTATTATTATCATAAACTATCTTTTGAATTATTTTTTTAAAAATTATTTCTTTAAAAGCAATTCCACTTAAATATATTGATTAAATATAAATGTAATTATAAAATTATTATTATTATTTTTTTTTTTTTTTACTCTCTGTCAAGCTAGTTATGTGTGTTTTATTAAACAATTGTAAGCTGTACATATAGTATAAATCGCTAAAGCTAAAACTTCAACTAGCTACTCGTCTCAGTAATTACTCTAAGTACAACTTTGGGAGTGATTTTTCGCTCCATTAAAAGTTCAGGTGAAGACCCTT